GATCACTTGAGGTCAGGAGTTTGAGACCAGCTTGGCCAACCCGGTGAAAACTCGTCTCTACTAAAAATACAAAACTTCTGGGAGTGGTGGCAGGCACCTGTAGTCCGAGCTACTAGGGAGGCTGAGGCAGGAGAGTCCTTTGAACCCGGGAGGCGGAGGTTGCAGAGTCAAGATTGCTCCACTGGACTCCAGAGCGAGACTCCGTCCCCCGCTCCACAAAAATAAAAAAAAAGATGGGCACGGCGGCTAACACGTGTAATCCCAGCACTTTGGGAGGCGGCCAAGGCGGGCGGATCACAAGGTCACAAAGTCAGGAGATCGAAACCATCCTGGCTAACACGGTAAAACGCGGTCTCTACCAAAAATACAAAAAATTAGCCAGGCGTGGTGGTGCGCGCCTGTAGTCCCAGCTACTTCGGAGGCCGAGGCAGGAGAATCGCTTGAACCCGGGAGGTGGAGGTTGCTGTGAGCTGAGGTCACGCCATTGCACTCCAGCCTGGGCGACAGAGCGAGACGCCATCTTAAAAAAAAAAAAAAATCCTCTGCAAATGCCTAAACCTATTTTTCAGAATCCTTTCAGCCAGCAGGCACCTACTGAATGCTCACAGAAGTGAGTATTTGTGGGATCCTGTATATTACTACAGACACCACCTGTCAGGTGAGAACCATACCTACAAGATGATTCTCCAATGTTTAAATAAAACAAAGTCTCTTTTGTCTCTTTTGAAAGTGACTCAAATCAGTGCTCAATGTTTGAACATCATTTATAAACCCTGCCCCACCTAAATGCCAACTACCTAAGACGTGCAAATTTTTTACAAAGTTTTAGCATTAAACATTTTCCTATTTATAAGTAACTTTCAAGCCTCCAATTTAATACATAATGCATTTGACCCACAGAGAATGATTCCTGGGAGCTGAAAATTTCACTAGAGAATAATTTGTGGCAATTGAATTTGTCTTGTCTTGTCTGTAGGATTCTGCAGAAAGAAGTGTACACATTTTTGAACAGCTGTGTAAGGGATATATACCAGCGAGCTGTGGACAGCTGCCCAGTAACAGCCACATGGACACCTCAGACAGAGCCACTGAAACTGCCCAGCCCTCCTCTCCTAGCACATTACTAGCCAACCTCCCCAGGGCTCTGAATCCACTGCCCCTATGACTCACCGCCCATCAATGGGTTCGAAAGAAGCCTGGTGTCAGAAGCATCTCTTGGCTCCACGGGCTTGCCGCCATCCATGCCCCCTTGCTTGCCATCCATGGTGCTCTCTCCTGAGTGAGCAAGCTCTGCGCCGTACTTCAGTTGCTCAGCAAAGCCCAAACTTCATGCTCCCCTTGCTCCTGAAAAATTTATGTGGCTGGCTGAGCTGCACACGTCCTGGTCAAATGGTCTGCAGCAAAGAACAGAGCAGGCAGGGTAATCTGAGTACTACCTGTGTTCAGAGAGAGGCACACGCTCGGGTACACGCGCGCACACACACACACACACACACACTTTACCTAACTGGCTGGAGGCCCGGCAGAGGCCACAAGAACCCTCCAGCCCCCAGTCTCCGAAGTTGCTGATGTCACGTCCTTTCCCAAACTGAGACCAATCAGTGAGGAAGCCTTGGCATTTATCAGGAAGGAAACTTACAGTTTGTAACTTTTTAGAGTTAAGGGAGCAGGGTGGGGACGAAGTAAACAGCTCACTTTCTGCGAGTGTTGTTCACCCTGCTGAGATCCGTTTGTTACATGGTAGCTTGTTATGGAGACAAGCCCCAGCACCCAGAGCTGAGAACGCTGGTTTTGCAGCAGCAGCCCTGCTGAATTGCTTGCACAGTATCATGCACAGCACGCCCTGGCCATCTGCACACGTGCTTTCAATTTCACTGGGAGTTTCTTATGGGAAAATGTGTCTATATGTTACAATAATGTACCTTTGGAAAGAACTGCTTTTTTCATTTCGACTGCAAGAATTTCACTAAATGTCCTGCCTCACCCTTCCTCCACTCCTTTTATTTTAACTTCTAAATAAATAATGAACCATTGCAATTGGAAAACTGGATTGCTAGGTGGCCTGGGATGCGGAAGAGACCTGCTATCTTTCCATTGTCAATTATTAAAACTTATTTTGTTAGCATTTTGCTTATACAAAATATTTGGGTGTTCTGTGTCCATGTCGTTTCAGATAAACCCAGTTGCCTCACACCCCTTGGTGCTACTTCAGGCTGAGGGCCACCTCTGGACTCCCAGCATTCCTCTCTTCCAGGTGGAAGAGGATTTTTCATCCCCATAGGGGAAGGCTCTGAGTTAAGTCTCAAGCAAAGGCTGGCTGTGCAGTGACTGCAGATTTGTCTTAATTGCAAAGACGAGGCCTAGCTGTTTTAGATTTATGGAGTCTCAGTTGAAACATTAGGTGGCTGTTATTAACAGTTTGAGAGGTGTCATTCACATTTTTAAAGGCATTTCTATGCATACACATGTATGCACATTTATCAATTTACATTTTCCACATAAATGTACCTATATTCTATTTTTGTTTTTTTTGAGACAGTCTCACTTTGTCACCTGGGCTCGAGTACCATGGTGCCATCTCAGTTCATTGCTAACTCCTACTCCTGGAGTCAAGCGATTCTCCTGCCTCAGCCTCCCAAGTAGCTGGGATTACAGGAGCATGCCACCACCCCTGGCTATTTTTTGTATTTTTAGTAGAAGCAGGGTTTCACCATGTTGGCCAGGCTAGTCTCAAACTCCTGACCTCAAGTGATCCCCTCGCCTTGGTGTCCCAAAGTGCTAGGATTATGGGTGTGAGCCACCACTCCCGGCCCCTATATTATTCTATTATTCTATGCTTTTTACTCTTATTTGGTCTGGGAGAGCTTTCCATATCAGCTTTTATGGCTATGCTACTGTCTTTATTCACTGCTGCATAGCATTCCATATTGTGCCAACAGTATTTAATTATGCTCCTAATGATGTAAGCAGAAGGTCATTATTTCTGTTAGTACTATGAAAAGACTGAAGTTCATATTTTGTACATGTGGCTTTGTGCACAGAGGCAAATATTTCTAGAGGGGAGATTCCTAAGAGTGGAAATGCTAAGTCAAAGGTATGCTTATGCACATGTAATAAATTGTATAAAACCAAAGACACGGCTGGGTGCAGTGGCTCATGCCTGTAATCCCAGTACTTTGGGAGGCTGAGGAGGGCAGATCACCAGGTCAGATGTGCCTATATGTTGCAATAATGTACCTTTGGAAAGAACTGTTTTTTTCCTTTCAGCTGCAAGAATTTCACTAAATGTCCTACCTCACCCTTCCTCACCTTAGTAGAGATGGTGAAACGCCATCTCTACTAAAAATACAAAAATTAGCTGGGCGTGGTGGCAGGCACCTGTAATTCCAGCTACTCAGGAGGCTGAGGCAGGAGAATCGGTTGAACCCAGCAGACAGAGGTTGCAGTGAGCCGAGATCACGCCATTGTACTCTAGCCTGGGGGACAAGAGTGAGGCTTCGTCTTGATAAAAAATAAAAAAAATTGAAGACACACAGAATGAGTACAAGTAAAACTGGGGAATGGAATAAAATCAGTAGATTGTATGAATGTTGATTTCCCAGTTATAATATTGTACTACAGTTACCACTGAGGGAAACGAGGCAAAGTGCACTGGATGGAGATCACTGTGTGATTTCTTACAACTGCACGTGAATCTATAATTCTCTCAATACAAATTGCACTTTTTTTTTTTTTTTTTT